AAAAGTGCTTTTTTCAACATTTTCTGTCTCACTTTATATTTGTATGTTTTCCTTTTTGACTGTGTTTAACAGTTAGTTTCCCATCAGGAGTCAGAGCAGGTACACAGTGGAGACACAGGAGAGTCTGATATAGTACTTTAACCAGGAGACTAAAAAATATATTATATATATATATATATATATATTTTGTTTTTTACTAACTATATCCTGGATTTCGACCTTTCAAATCTGAGAGCACTTTGCCACTGAATATCGACGGACAGATTACACTTCATTATTTTCCCATCCACAACAATTCTAAAGACCAATTGGCACCGGGAGCACGTCCTGGTCATTAGACCATGGATCAATTTGTGTATGGCTGGTCGTACAAATTAAATTGCATCCAGATGAGTTCCATTTTCACTGGTACAGGTGTTTCTTGTGACAGAGAAACCACAGTCGTGGACTTTATAGAATCACATTGCGGTCAGAATTATAACAGAGTTTACCTTCAGTGATTAGAGTCAGAATTCATATTTTTTACAGGATCCAAGGGAAACACCTAGTGTTAGTGGGAACACTTTTCTTCTGTAGCTCCGTCTCCTACTTTCTTCTACTCTCATACACAACAGTTTTGTATTACAGAACGCCCAGATGACAGAGGGGCAGAGCCCCGCTGTACTGTATATGACCTTAGAGGAGGACACGAGCACACACCCATATCCAAGACGCACAGAGACAGAGTCACGGCAATAACTTTCAATTCCCAGAGGCAAAAAAAAGAACAAGAACAGGAACAGGAAGGAAGAGGAAATAATTTACCACATCTCCTTTGTCTGATTTAAAAGCTGAATGGTTTTGTGGCTGCAGGTTAAGTGGAACGAAGAAAAACTAACAGACAGATCTGACAAGACAAGAAAGTCTGAAACCGACGATGACCTATTGTGTCTTCTGAATGAATAATGGTTCACTGGTCTACGAGAGGCAGGTGCTGAGAACAAAGAACACTCAAGTTTAACCCTCCCCACATTCATTTTATCAACATTTCAACTGATGATAAAAATATATCTGAACATACAGAGTCAAACGCAGGCTCGCCACCACAGTAGTATCAAACAATGTCCCATTCTATCATTTTCTTAGAGCTTTAGCTCAGCTGGAACCCAGTTTCTGTCACTCCACTGTTTACCGACCGTCACATGTCAAGAGTTTAATCAGTATGTTGTGAACATAAGCGCGACTGAAATTGAACCCTAGGTAAATACATAATGAAGAATTAGCAGTACAGCAGTTGCAGGAAATGACTGGTCATAGTTTGTGCCAATGGTAATTAGATTTCAATTCAATTTACATTATGTCTAATATCTGGTGTGGCTTTATTCTTCACTAGTTGAGATGCAGGTTCAGTGCAGTACTGGCAAAAGAAATGATTACAGAACAATACAAAGAGACAAATTGTGGTGCAATATTTGGAATATTTGCAATTTTTGTGAGTGATGGGTAAAATATTCTTTGACAATAGGTTCACCGTATTGGCTACAGATCAAGGTTGATTATGGGATACAGACTAAATACTCTTTAATCTACTTTACTAGTATCAACATAAATAGATGTCTGAGAATTTTAATAAAATAAATTAACTCCCTTTAAAAGACTGTTGTTTTGTTTTGTTTTTTGTTTTCAAACCTATTTTTCTGTTAAAACATATTTTCCGATATGTTCTACATGAAAACAAAGCCATAGACTTTTGAGCAGCCAGCTGAGTTTACTCCCAGCAGGCTCAGCCACTCTGTTGTTCCTCCTCAAAGTGCTGACAACTGGGTCAGTAACTGTGAGCATACTGCAGTTTACCTGCGGCTGCTGGCCATGGTGCAGAGCGGATAATTTGGTTAATCCTTTTGCTCTTTCCTTGAATTTTCCCCATGTTGCTGCCTTTGGAGAAATAGAGAGAGAGCTGTCCATGGTGCTGATATTTCTTTCTACACTATTTTTTCTCTCTAGTATTGTCACAGTGGTTGTCTTTTATTTATTTATGAAGTTCTAATACTTGTGCGATTAATTTACCTCTTACATCTATCACATTCAAGCTCTCTTGAAGTCCACGCTCATCGGTGGAAGGTTTTCTGAATGTGATGAGCTTCAGGGTCGATCCCTGCTGACTGTACTTCCTCTTTTCCCTCAGTGTATAGCTTAACTGTCCTCGCACCGTAGCCCCTGAAAATCCTCGGCGAGCCAGCAACAGGGAAGAAAAGAAAAATAACAAGTTTCTGAATTCTGAGTTTGCAAGAGTGACAACTGCGGCAAAAGATTTGGCTTTTGAACTTGGGCGAAAAGAGAAACCAGAACAACTTTGATATTGAGCGTGAAAAAGAAAAACAACACGCAACTCAATTTTACTTTTTTTTTTCTTAAAAAAAGTTTTGTTAAGAACAACATGCAAAGAGAGCTAATATGTAACAGTACCATCGACATCTCAATGGGAGAAAGCTGAAGGACAAAAAGATGGAAAAAAGGAAAATTCATGAAAAATGTCTTTTTCTTATTTTAGCTGTTGTTTCCAGGGTGAATGAACAGCAGATGATTTGCTTTAAGAGTTAATAATAGGAGTTGCAGCAAAAAAGGTATTATTTTTATTAGCACTGTTGTGTGTTATGTGTTTGTTTCTGGCAGGTGCTGTAGTGTCTGTCTGCCTGTGATCATGTGACGCTCCTGTCTGTTTTCCTGTTGTTCACTGATGTTTCACCCCTCGTCTTCCTCTCCCCACACTGATATTCTGTCTGAAGAACTCTGCCTAAATCTCTGCACTGACATCCTATATAACATGACATTCAAGCTCTGCCAGTGAAGCTGTCTGAGCTTTCCTTCTGTGTCCAAGAGTCTTTCGTTTCAGTCGCCTTTTTGTTTTATGTTTTGAAATATGTGACAGAGACAGCCACTGTGACATTTTTATTTGAAAATGTTTTTGTAGAGAAAAGATATGTAGTTACATTTCTGAGGAAACACTGATGACTAAAATGAGTAACAGCTGATATAACAGCAGAGGAGGAAAGTGGAGGTGTAGGATGAAGGCAGATCATCCACTGTGCAACCCCTGAAGGGAGGAGGCAATAGAAGAAGAAAAGGATGCATGCGATATCAATCACTGTTCCTCCTGTTAGCCAGCCAAGCATCAGGAAGTCCAGTTTGAACAAAACAAGACACACAGTTTGTTAATGAGGGGTCTGCGATGTAGGACAAAACACCAAAGAATTCACAGGGACATGAAAGCTACACCTACAGCTCTGTTTACTACCATTGATCTATTATGAATGACGAGCTCTGACTTCAGCTGTTGGGACTGAAAAGTGCATCTAAGACAAACTTTTAATAAGAGTAATCAACAAGAGACCATCTGAAAGGCTGGTACAACATGAGTCAAAGTGTTTTATATAATGGATCCAGAGTTATTCACTGTCAGTATTATATTATCGCCTCATGTTTTCCTATATCATAAAACTGAGGACAGATCAAACAAAGCTACGGCTGGTCTTCTGTCTATTGAAGTAACTGCAATTTGCATATGAATGCAATTAACGCCTAATAAAATAGTGTTATATGTTGCAGGGATACGTTGCATTACATGCCTATTTACTGTAAATCCCTGGAATCTTGAATAATTTGATGACTACGGCACAACTGTTCATGCAAAAGAAAAAAAAAGAAAAACTCACCCTTGACATGAAAACAGTGTGACTGTCTAGCTGAGCGATGACACCTCGGCCATGGGCTCAGCTCTCTAATCCTGCTCACACTGAAAGGAAGCTAACACCATTATCTCTGAGGCAAACACTGAGAAATTGCAATTTGTCTCTTACATCAGCAGCACTGAAATCTCACAGCACAGGGTTCCAAAGTGAGTCCTGTGAAAAAGCTGCACTGACTGAGGCACAGTCTGTGTTTTTGACAGTGAACACTTTGGGTCAACGCTGTTGTTTTTGGTGTGTTATATGAATAAAGTTGAATTGGATTGGGTATTTAAAACAAGGCATACAAATATTTTTAAAATACTGTAGTGTAATGTGGCAGCCTCAGTCAATAAGCCCAGCTGAAAATGAAATTTTTTTTAACTTCTACTTCTTCTACTCACTTCATTTTGTTGCCTTTGTGTCTCAACTTCTGTTCCTCTCCTGGGTGCTGCAGCCTTCTGTCTTCTTACGTCCACACACCTTCGTCAACCTGTGCTTCTGACATGTGTTTCTGTCCATATAGTGATTCCCTAACCTTCTCCACCTGTGCCTTGTTGACTCCTCCCTCTCCTCCTGTGTTTTTCCCACATTTTCATTCGAGCCTGGATTTGACTTGAGCTCATTGGTCCCCAAGAGTCGTTCATAACAAAAAACTAAATTAAAACGCATGAAGTCAAATCGTATCAATACAACATACAATATAACAGAAAAAAAATGTATCACATACCACATCACCATGTTTATATAAGCATCTATTAGCATTATTATTTATGTTAGCGTCTTTATCTCTGTCACCTCTGGCTCAGTGACTCTGTCAATGAACCATACTTCATAGCATGTCTCACTGCTGTCTTATCAGTCTTTCCTTTCAATTCTGCTTCTATTTTTCTGATCCCTCACACTACTCTCCATCCATTCCACACCGACTGCTGACCCCTGCTCTGCGTAGGTGAGTTACGTGTGCGTTGACGTGTTCTGAGTTGATCAAATGTGAGCGCTGCACCCTTCATTCAGTTTCTGAGAGCATTTTTATTTTCTCTTTTCTTTTCTCAGTTACTTTCAAGGCCTGTGAGATTTGCATGCTATTAAACCGCCATTGCACTCACTTATGAAAAGACGCAATCACAAGTGCTTCTCGGCGTAATGAAGATTGCGTGTTGTTTGTGTTCAGCAACTCATTGATTTGAGTTTTTTTTTTTTTTTTTTTTTGGACTGGGTATTCAGTCGAAATCTTTTCCCTCAGTAACAAGGCTAAATGAAATAGAAAAACTCGCCATAATATTTTGTATCCATTCAGAGTTGCTTTATTAATTTTATATTCAGGTCAACAATTGAAGACATGATAATTATATTTTAGCTGCTGATTAGTATTTGTATTGAATGCGTGTCTGCATGGCAAAATACTACAGTACTTACTGCAAACGTGATAAAACTGCCTTACAGAACAGAATGATTTGACTTGAAGAAATTACCTGACCTGTATTTAAAGCCCAACAGAAAATCATTTTTTTCACTTTCAATTCCAAGATTTATGTTCTACTTTTAAGTATGAGCAATAACACCGGCACCTTCTTTACCTTCAGCTCTAACACTCAGGGCTAAATGCTGATTGAAAAAGGTCAACGCTGAGTCTTGTACAGATGCTCGCTTTAGCTCGACTATCGTAAGTATGCCGGCATTAGCATTCATTAAAATGCCTTTCTGTTTTCAAGGATTCAGTAGAACTAAAGTGAGCCAGATACAGATTACACACTGAAAAAAGATCCTGACCCTGTGAAAACATCTGTGCAACAAAGGCTGATTTTATCAACAAAAAAGAGCTGTACTGAAGAGTCTTCTGCGGCCCAGTGGCAGAAGGATCAGCCTTAACGTCAGAGGTCTACAGGTTTGAATCCTGGCTGGGTGTGATGAGTTGAGTAAGCACTGAAGGGTTGGTCGAATGCGGAAAACTAACATTGTTGTGTGTAATGTTTATACAATCACTAACGACACTGATAGGGTCAGTTGTTCTAATTATAATGTATAAGTTATATTCTACAAATAGATTATCAAACAGCCCATGCAGTGAAAAAGTGAAACAGGAAAGCAGTCTTTAACATGCTCCAAATATCATCACAAATGCTATGTAACATGACCTGGTAGTCGACGTTTTTATGAAACATGACTTTGCAGGATGCATGTGTGTACATGTAGACATTGATGTTACACGTGCACCTTTTATTGCACCGTTTGTTTGTTGATTGACACCTTTCACACAGCTGTAGTCTTTTATTGTACATAAAGTATAGAAACAGCGAAACACAGCTCATAGTGTTTTCAAGGCAAGACATGCGTTGTCATAGAAAACCGTCTTTTCTCACAAATGGAACTGGCATGCCATGAACACATAGTCTTTAATACATTCCTTTTTCTCTTCAGACATCTACTCAATGTGATGAAAAATAACTGCAGCATTCTTTGTTTTTCAGGAATTTCTCTGCCATCAGTTCGTGGTATTCTGAAATGATTGTATTTGTGAGCATAACACTGTTGTAGTATTGTTGTTGTTTTGTTTCTGTAGAAAATGACTGCACCTCTACCTCCGACTGACACTTTAACCATTTATATTAGAACCTACTGCTAAAAAAGTGTCTATAGCACCAAATTAAATCAAAACATAATGTGATCTTCAGGAAAATATACGTATATAGCCAAGTATTCTTACAGACATAATTTCTTAACAACAGTTTTTTCTTTTTTCAGTACACACTGCAACATCTACCAGGAAACTACATACAACCGTCAGCCTGCCAAATCACACAAATGCAGGTCAACGTAACACAACACTTCCCTAACAGAATAATTGAATTCCCCAAACTTACCCAAAGATGTCAAGAATCCAGTCAGCGATCTCCGGGCTGTGCTGAAAGACTCTCTACTCGCAGCAGTTTAGAGAGAATCTTTATCTCTAGTCAGTTCTCAGTCTCAGTCCTGTCAGAGTCTGATGTGCAGAGTGGAGCATCTCCCCCCAGTCATGAGTCACCGACTCCATGCCAAGATACATTTCAGTATTGCATTGATATATGGCGCACACACATATACGCACAACTATACATTGTTTTAAAATTCTGCCAATACGATGCTCCGATCATGCTTGGATTTGTGTCATTTCATATTAAAATCGACATACAAACAATGGGTTTTTGTTTTCATCCCAAAGCCAAAAAAATGAAGCAAAGAGCAGTTGAAGCTACAGACAGAAAAAGTAAAGCTTTTTTTAAAATCAACATGTTTTGAACAGGGAGGATGGTGATGTAAAAATATAATGTGCATTTCTGACAGGATAGAACAGTTACACCATAGTTTTTACCTCAAGTTTGATGGTCATTTCACATCATGCTGCTGAGAGGTTGTTTTAGTCCGTTGCCTTTAGGACCATGTACGATCTACGACTGAATTACCTTCCTGTCAAAACAACTTGGAAGAGACTATAAATAGCTGTTCTGATAATGGGGAGCCAGTTATTTGGCTGTGTCTTATCTGTGATCATTAAGCCTAGAAGGGTACACTACTCCAAAAAAAAAAATTATAAATAATAAGTTGCTGTCTTTTCACTGATTCACTGTCCCTAAGTGAAGCAGCAACAATGAATCAGAACATCAAAAATTGCCCTTTCAGGTTAAGGACTGTCATCTGCTGAATGTTAGATCATCCCTTTACAGGGCTTTAGAGGATTGAGAGCTACTGCTAATGCCAGGCCAGGTCTCTGTCCTCTTATTTAGTCCTAATGTCTTCTTAAGCAGTGGTGACTGACCTCCCTTAATGAGAATTAATGCAGGTCCAAATTGGATGCTGGGTCTGTCCAGATGCCATTATGCAACATCATTTCCAACAACCTGTTATTGATTGCACTTGTTAAGCTACATGCAAACCACAGGAGCTAATGCAGGAATGTTGAAACAGTGAATAAAGAAAAGGTATGACCTCTGACCCAAATGGAGCTCAAGACGCCATCGTAACTGTGGTCAGATAAGATTCAACTTGCCAAAGTGATAATACTATAATAGGCTGATATTAAAAATGAGTGCAGAAAACTAGAAGGGGATTTTCATAGACGTAAATGTATCAATGCAAAGTTAATGTTTCAAAGAAACACGTCCTACTGTCAGGAGACAAACTTTATAATGAATTGGATGGATGGATGGATGGATGGATGGATAGATAGATGGATGTTTTGAAAGTGTACAATCAATTCTTTTAGAATTAGAGTTCATAGTTCATGTCAGTACCTCAGTCTAACTGAAGCACATGCAAGGCTCCTGTGTCTCTTTAGTTTTTATCTTGCTAATATTTTACACATATTCATGGAAATAAATATTTTACAATACTTTGATTGCACAGTTTGACTGTTGTGATACTTTTATAGGATTTTTCAGATTCTGTGTTTTCTTTCCACCCACTATGTGGCGATGTCCCATATTCTGAGGTTCCTCTCACACATCACATATATAAACATTCACAGCCGCTGAGCAAGAACCGGATATAAAAGAATAATATTAAATAATAATAATAATAATAATAAAACAAAGAAAACTGAGAATGAAAGTGCCACCGAGACTAGGTTAAAGTGTATGGGTATTTCATTGTCCCCTGGAATGTAAACAAGTCAATCACTGGGAATGGGGGGTGGGCTTGGTGGTTTGGTGATGGTGTTGGGGGGAGTCTCGGTGGTGGCCACTAGTCATACCGGCCCTTCAGTCAAGCCCTCCAGGGGAAGGCTGGTGGCGTTGTTGGTTGGTTGTGGGTCATCCCGTGGAGACGATGGTCCGTGGGCAGCAGCAGCCAGACTGGCATAAGGCAGGTGGCAGTCCATGTGCAGAAAGGGTGGGTAGTGCTGGCGGTAACAGATGTAAGCAAACAACAACCCGATCACTCCTCCAACAAAGGCATCTATAAAAAAAAAACCACACATACAGTATATTGAGTCATGTGGTCTTATTTATACATGGAGGCAGAAAGACAACAGTGTATTTTTAATTAGACTTCAATGCACGTGCCATAATATTGAAATAATTAGGTGTCTACAGTGACAATTAACTAGACTGGACTAAGAACAGCGATGTCTCCCATGAAAGGTACCAGTGTCTCTATTATGTCTTAAACATCTCTCAGACGTGTTATAAGACTTTGGTAGCCAGTGGTGTTCTGTGTGCTGTTGCATGCTGGGACAGCAGTTTTTCGGGGGTTTACGCCAAGAGACTTATTAACAAAGTCTTCAGCATCATAGTGTTTGAGGTGGTCAGGGAGAAGAATATCTTCAAACCTCAGCTCTCTCTCAGATTAATGAGGTGCCGGTCAGACTCAGACCCTTAGCAACAGACAGAGCTACTGGGAACACAGCGCCTCCCTCTGAGTGCTATCAGTATCACAATTAAAACACTAAATGTGCTAAAACTGTACAAACTACTACTTGTGCTGTATTTATTTTTGTATTTTTAAAAATATTTCTCCATTTCCATCCTTTAGTCGTAAGTATATTCCGATTGCACTTTTGAATTGCTCTTGCAGGATCAGCTGTAATACCAACACTTTCCCCCAGGAGATCAAGCAAGTCTTTAGGTTTCTGATTTCCATATTCCCGTGAGAAACCCTCATGCCTGGTTAATTTAGAGCCTCATAGGAAACAGAAGATGAATCTCTTCTGCTTCAGCCTTTTCGCCTTTAGACATGTTGTTCCTGTCACTTTGTCATCTATGCTGAACGGCGCTGTGTAATACAAGAGCCATTATAATCTGTAATACATCATAAAGCACCAGAGAGCCATGTTGAGAAATGGGCCTTTATCGCCTGGATATAGATCAAAATGACTTTCGTGATAGTGAAATTATGATTTCTTTTCCTCCGTATTGCTCCTCCTTTTTTTCTTTCCTCAGGATAAAATGGAATATAACACAGCATCGACTTCCACCAGTGACAAAGTTTACAATGCATGAGCTCGCTCCATGAATGTTTCATCGACTCCTGTCAACTGAACGTAATAGACTGTGATTTGATGCAATATATTTCTTTGGTGGTCTCGTTGAGGCAGTGATTGGACGGCCGGTCATTTCCCCAAGGCAGACATAGAGCAACTGCAAAGTGCAAAGGGATGGAAAGAATATTAGAAGTCATCAAAAATGACTCAGGGAGGCTAATGGGGACTCTTATTTTTTGTTTACATTCAGTAAGGATTAGGGCCCCTCGCGTAATATGCTTTACTATTTCTGATCTCCCAGCAGCCCACAGGGAGAGAGGAAAAAAAACTACAGCCTTCAAACGACTTAAGAAATAAAAACACTCAGAAAGTGCTTGGCCTGCCTTTAAATAAAGTCTGTTTTTCTCGCTGCTAGCTCACCAGGAACATATGGCTTTCTCCAACTAATTAACACCATATGACGGAGCTGTTGTCACCACATATTACCACGTACTATGTCCCACATGCCACCCACATACATAATCCCTCCCTTCTATCCAAGACTCCTTTTACTTAGAGAAGATATGAAAAACTGAAGCTTGTAATAGCTTTCCCTGGATGCTGCTAAATTAAATTCTACCTCACTGTCACCTCCGACACTTTTCAGGAAAGACAAATCTATCATGTTGCCAGCGCCGACACTCCAAGATGCATTTTTCAGCAGCAAAACAAACCTGGCAAACTTTACTTTCTTTTTTTCCCCCTGCTTCTAAAATGGTCACAAATGCCAATGAAATGATTTTCTGTAATAGCAGCAGTTTAATCAAAGACAACACCCAGAGCTCGCTTAATAAACAACCTAAATCATTAAAGTGCCTTGGGCCTCGGCCTCAGTGCAGTACGTCTGATGCCAGGCTGACACCAGCATTTTAAAAATTATGATTATGCGGCACTTATCTGACAGTTATCGTGATTCTGTGATGGCTCTGAGCTGTTACACAGACCTTGCCAGTGGTGTTTGTAGTCACAGGTCCGGGACAGTGCGATCATCATGGCGCTGTAAAGGGGAAGCACCATGGCACAGAGACGCCAGCTACGCCCCCGCCCCTGGTCGGTGAAACACTGCAGCTTTCCAGCGAGATAGAAGGAAGTGAAGCCCAGACCAGAGAAAGCAACTGAGGCGACACAAAGACAAAAACAGATTACAGATTAAGGATGGGGAAATAGGTTCAGATTTGAAAGGATATTGATTTTACACTGTCAACACTCTCTGAGGGAGATCTTCTTTATTATGTAGCAGAAAACCTTGGCACTGAATTCAGTGTTTGCAGAAAATAAACAATAAGAAACATAAAACCTAACCTATTGGCCAGGGGTGTCAAACCAATTTTGGTTCAGGGGCAGCATACGAATTAATTAGATGTCAAATGGTCTGGACCAAAGTCAAAGTCAGCTTTATTGTCAATTTCTTCACGTGTACTAGACATACAAAGGAATCGAAACTTTGTTTTTCACTGTCCCATGCGTAGACAAGACAGGACAAAACAAAATGCAAAACTACTCATTAATGTACAGTACAGTGCAGTCAAGTGTGATCAGGTATTAGCAGCAGTGCAAATGGTGAGATGCAGATGCATTTTTTCTTTTTTTTTAGTGTGGGTTCAAGTTCATTGGGGAGTTCTGTCTTGAGGAGGCGCCGTGGAGCTATTGGTGAATCTGGTGCAGGAACAGAGGCTCCTGTACCTCCTCCCAGAGAGCAGAAGAATCCTAACCTAATTACTTAAAAATAACAAAATGTCCTCTTTGTTTTCATGAAAATTCTTAGATAAATCCTCATACTTAGTGAAATATAATTATCAAAAGGTTTGTGTATTTTCTTTATTTTTAAAATTCATCAAGCGTGTCGGTTTTGGCCCGTGGACCACATGTTTGACAACCCTAGACATAAGGAGATGTATTTAAAGACTTGTGTGGCCTTTAATGTGTACAGTTCAAAAATACATCCTTGAGAGAACATGTGTTAACGAACACTCGCTGCCTAATGAGGACAAGTATTGATGGTAAACTCCCTGCAGTAAAACGACACAGAACAAATACCTGCTTTTCAAGCTGTGGTTGAAAACACTGGCTGCTCTGCGGTATGAATTGAAGACTGGAAAGTGGATCAATAGAAGGTGATGAGGTTGTAATTTATTTACTGTCACACTAGACTGAACAGCTTCAGCACCGATCAGCTGCCCATTTGTCACTCAACCTGTAAACCAGGTAAAGAACGCTGAGGCTGGTTGGACACGTGCAGCCTGAAGATAGGGCTGAGAAATGACGGGCAGAGGAGATAGAGCATTCAGCTGTCTGAGTGTTGTCAAAAGTCGGTTTAATTAAAAACATTGTGTTTGCCGGGCTGACATTAGGTTTATTAATTTTGGTTTAAGTCATCAAAAACAGTCTAATCTTCGACCAAATCTCCTACAACGAGACAGCGAATGACATAAAAGTCCACAGTTTGTGAAGTTTCTCCCAATTAGAGCGAACAATTGGTTTCAGAAAAAGTAAGAGAGAAGTACAAGGTAGAACCAGTGAAGTTTTGTTTCATT